ATACGTGAATATTTGTCAAATCAATTGTTCATTATTTGCCCAAAACCCAATCAGAATGTTTTCGTCAATTGTTTTGTTTGTGCCCCTTATCTCCAATGAACCTCTTGCAATTCGCGATTGTGAATGGGGTTACAAGGCTTGCATTATCATTGTGTTGCCCGTGTGAATATGGAAATTTACCGATATTAATAGTAAACTTTCAAATGCAATGGAAACGCTTGTGTTAATCGACCAAGAGTACTGGACAGCTGTTTTCTACCTGTTTGGGACTCGTCAGCAGTGCGTGTACTTTTTGTGTCCCTGTCAGGATTCGAACTGCGAACCTTTGGGTCGGGACTTCAAACCCTTATCCCTGAGCTACACGGTTGACGATCATTACCTTGTGCGGATGGCTTAGTCAATTAGGAGTATCAAACTTGGCTCAGCTCATTCAATTGTTCAGCGGTATCAGGCACCTGATGGTCTTGGGTGTGGGTTTTACTTCTTGGGAGATCGTTAATTTCCCACTAGTTGAATGCATTTAAATACGGTGGAAATGCTTGTCTGGTAAGGCTTTGAATTCAAAAGCCGAAGAATCGCGGTTCGAGTCTTGACAGGGACACAAAAAGTATGCACTACTGATGAGTCCCAAACAGAAACAGCTGTCCATTGCTCTTGGTCGTTTGTCACAAACATTTCCGTCGCATTTAAATGCATTTGCGTCGTGGGGAATTAGCGATCTCCCAAGGATTGAAACCCACAGCGACCATCATCAACAGTGTCTGGTACCTCTGAAAAATCCGATTGGCTAATCCAAGCTTGATACTCTAAATACTTAACTCTATTTTGGAGCATCTTATACTGACAAAATATTTTGAAAAATAAGCAGTAGCAGTTGCTCGTTAAAATCAAATGAACTGATTATAATGATAGAACAGATTGATTAACATTTCCGGGTTGAACTTAGATGTACGCCTTTGGACCTCTTTCTCTCTCACTCACTCAACGAGGACCAAAATAGACCTTTGGTAAAAGACTGTTCAATAATCACCAGCGCTACCAACCTCGTTCCCTGATCCCATCCTTCATTCACACTATCCTAAGTGTCTAACTCACTTCCGGTGCATTACAAAAATTCGATTTACGACCACTTGAGTATCAGAAGGGTGTTGTTGCTGGCTAGCTAATCTGCGATACGGCCGCCACACAAGGTCACACTTCTTCGTACGGCATGCTTCTAAAACCTTTCGTTAGACAGTTTGACGATAAAATTATTTGAGTTTTTTTTGCTGCCTATATTCGCCTGTCAGTCGGGCGCATTCCACTTCACAAGATGGAACACGAATTTCACGAAAATCGTCATCCACTTTTGAGAACGATGTGAAAGCACTGCCATATATTCTTATTTATAATTTCTTGATTGCTGGCTTGCCCACTTTTAATTAAAATTTTAGTTGCTTGTTTGGAAACGTTTTCGGTCAATCATTTTAAAATGTGATCGGTTAGATGATGCACTTGTGATTTCCTATCCAATGTCTACCAATTATTCGATTGAAGATTGTCACAGCCATAATTTGTTTGACACACAGTCTGGATTCAGACGTGCGTGAGAATATAAATGCAATATATATATATATAT